AAGATAACTCTTTTAGAGTTAAGCTCGCCTTCGTACATTTGTATATATTATATTGTCATATTTGTATATATTATTAGTGTGTACAAATTATTGTATTTTTTTAAATTATACATTAGTATCAAATAAATAAATAAACATATCCCGGTCACGCGGACGAAGTCGCGGTTAAAAACTAAATCAATTTTTATAATAATGTACATAGTAATTAAAATGGGCTTCAGTTTCCTATAATGAAATTGAAATTCAGAAACGAGGATTATTTTCCAATGACATTTCCCGGAAATAAAATAATTCGGTTCCGCTGCTCAACTAAATTTTAACAATTAATTAATTAAGAGTTTATTATTTGTGTACTAGTTTGATATTCTATCTTGAACTTTAGAACCCTATGTTAGAGAGTATTTTCGAATTGAATTCAAAGTACTCAATTTTCCAATGCGGAGAACTTTTTTAATGGTATTTTTTTAGTTAGGTAAGGTATTCGTCGTCTGTAGACAGAGTACTCTCGTGCTACTTTTAAATGATGTTAATTACTCGTAATTACAGAAACTAGAGGACTTGCCATGCCTTTCTTTTACAGGTGAGAAAGTTTTAGTATTTAATAGTTTTAATACTACTGTATTTATAGTAAAAAAAAATATTGAAAAAAATATACTAGTATAACATCGCAACTGTATTTTTAATACGGTTTCTTATAAGTTTATAGCTATATAAAAAAGTGTCATCATCATCAAATCAGCCATAACTGTCCACTGCTAAACATAATTCTCCCCCAAAAGGGAAACCCTTTTTGGAATTTCTACTAAACATTAGTAGTCATGCTTTGCAGGTGGGTTGGCAACCGTTGTTAGGCTTTTGGAGGGACGCTGCTGTCCGTCCTTCGATCATTAAGTTCTCTTAGTTGCCTCTTACGATACTTACGGGAAAGGAAGGCGTGGCCCATTTTATGTCGGGACCACACAGTAAATTATGAAAGTATATAAATGTATAAAGACTCGGTACTTTGTTTATTTAATTATTAATAATTAATTTGTAGGTACTTTCACACGTGCGGTAGTGAAGTAATAATATGAAGTAACGTCCACGAATTTCCGCTGACAGAATATTGTAAGGTCGAAGTAGTGTAAAAAAACATAATACATTAGTGCAAGAAAAAGAAATCGAAATATAACCTTGTAACAATCTACCTAGATGTCGTGATAATAGTAGGTTATAGCCTCCTCTCTGGAGTAGACTCGTGTTTTCCGAGCTCGTCTTAAAGGGTTGTTAATGTAAGTTAATTTTATTTGTTCATTATATTGTGTCCATAGCAACAAAATGTGTAAAAATAAATAATTGAACAGCCAATCACCGCCGGCAAACCAGTCCTCCACGTCTCCGTGGTCCACAATAATTGGTTTATGATCCGCAAATATTGTGGTTACTGTAAAATGTTGCCTCTGTGTAGTGGACACGCTTTAGGCAGAATGCCTTTAAATACAAGCAGATATTAGATGAAAATATATAATTTCTTGCGTTATATAACTAATTATCTATAGGTTTTTTTTTCAAGGAAAATTAATTTCATGTTACATAACCTTTATTATACAGGATTTCTTTTTCTCTCAGAAAATTAAATGGAGAATACATTTTACCAATCCTTTTTTGTTGCAGCATGTTATAAGAAGCGAATAATGAGTTAAAGTAAATAACCAGTGCAAGATAAAAACAAATAATTATAAAATCTTTATAAATAACTGTGAAAGTAAGTTTGATTGTTTATTGCTTCTTAGCGCCTTAACAGTTTAGCCAATCACTATGAAATTTGGGAACATATCTAGGTATTCTGCTGCTGCTGACGAAGTCGTGGTTAAAAGCTCGTTTTATATAAGTCAACGCGGTAATAACTAGATATAATCTTTCTTTAAATAAATAGAGACCGATGCTCAGCAGTGGGCTATTGATTGGACGGTCAATCTTCAAATGTTGGTAGTTGCATGCATATTAATGTTAGCAGAATTGAACAAAATAATAAAAATATATAAAATGAAAATAGTTATTGTAAAGTAATATAATTGTAATTAACTAACCAGGATGTTATCGTATATAATTTTGTAAGTTCTCTGTCAAAATAATAAAATTATTTTTTGTTTCAAACTTTTCTCCACTCTTCTCTCTGCAAAGCAACGTAATAAAAAGTTTACAGTAAGTGCTTATGTGTATAGTTTTAGTTCCATAATATTCTGCAGTAGTAAAGTACACAGTTCATGGCTGTCGAATATCTCACAAAGTTTGATATATGTCGTATAAAATAAATTCAGTTATGTCATAATAATACACCAGTATGCTTTAGTCACTTAAATCAATCCTTATTAGGGATATATTTTAAGATATTTTTTTAGCGATGTACACTATCTAAATTATTAATAAATAAAGTTTTTTTTTTTTAAATAAAAAGGTCTTGTTTTTCAAAAAAGAAAGCAATTTTGACTAGATAAAGTTAACTAAAAAAACATTATTCAGAAATGGGAGAAAACAATTAAAACAAGCGAACTAAAATTATAGTAAATTGAGAACAGATGAAAATAATGATAAATGTTCTTCGTAAGACAAATGTGTACCATATATAGTGAAATCGAAAACGTTGGTGAAAGAAACGATTTGTATTGAAAATGTATGATTAAGGATATAGCAAACATAGAAAGATTCGTTTTATATCTCAGTCTAACTTCCTTACTCATTAAACGTCAAACGTCTGTCACTATTAGTCATTGAAGTACTTCGTCTTTATCTTTTATCGTGTATTCAGAGTTAAAAAGTAACAATACAATGTGTATGAGTGTTTAGTACACTTCAAGGAACATTAGTCAAACATTTCGTTCGCAGAAGGTTAATTGTTAACAAATTATTGAAAAATGTTAACTAATGTACTATTATTTTATAGAAAATTGTTCAACAAAATATAGTTTATACAACAGTTGAATTGTTTGCTAGTGACTTAAAATTTTAATTAATAATACAAGATAAAATTTAAATAATAACTAATTTGACTTGTCTAACTGCCAAAGTAATATTGCTTGCTCAAAGCAAGCAATAGTCAATTATCTTTTTCTAATTCGTGTTTCGTAAAGTAAAGTATTCAGTTTGCTGGTAGAATACTCCTTTCAAAGTATGCTAATGATATCGCTTTCACGTTGAATACTTAATAAAAAGGAACTGCAATAAATTTTGTGTGCACAATTTTCTAAACTATATATTATAATATTTAATTAATTCAACGTCTGTGTTTTATTTACTAATTATACACTCTTAATTTATGAGTATTGTAATTTAGAAACGTTGTAAATTTTATTTTAAACCGTAGAGCCATTGTTATTTCCATTATATAGGTATCCTTTAAGAGGTTAATGAAAGGCTCAAAGTATTGTAACTTATTTAGGTCTTAATTTGCAAACCGATTGCGCGATATAATATATTTTACCAAACAAAAGATATATGTGACAAGGGACAAAATTTAGGACTTAAAATACTTAATTAGATTCAACGGTACGAAAATTTTAATAATGTATAAAGTTTGCTGTAAATTTATATTATAGATCGAACGACTTCAAGAGCATGCTAAAAATTAGACTGTATTTTTGTTGCTATGTTACATAATGAAATTGATAATTTTGATAATGTTTATTAATGTAAATGTTTTAAATATAATATATTAAATATATTAGATTATTTTATTTGGAATAAAGAGTTGCATACTCGTATATGCCACTAAATTATACTCTGAAATTGTTTTCTTTCTCGTGACTACAGATTACGAATTGATCTCGTAAGTAATCGATCTTTCTCAATCTAATTACACGTAAGTTAAATTGGTAGTTATTACATTAAAATGTAATATATTTCATTATAAAGAAAAGCAGCTTTAATCGATACAAAATTAAAACGAGACCATTACGTATACACAAAATACAAATGGATTTAAAATCTCCTTCTAGATTGGAAAGACAAAACTGCTTGAGATTAAATTATTTTTTAATCCAAAAATCCAAGTCAATCAACCACAGACTGATAAGAAGTACCTTTTCTTATTTACTGCTCAATCTAAAGTCTAAATCTCGTAAATTGGACACTCTCGATGAAATTTGGCCAAACTACCTTCTTCGGTAAATTGGTTGGTGAAGAAGCTACGTTGCTATAGTAATTTCCTAAATCAAGATGACGGCCAATTTGAGGTGGGCTCGCTTTAAATATAAAGGCATCCAAATTGAGCAATTTTTTTGAAGATAATTTTTTTTTATACTACTTAGAATGGCAAACAAGCTGACAGCCCACCTGATGGAAAGTGGTAACCGTCCCCTATAGACATGAGCAGTACCATGGACATAACAGAGTATACTGTTTCGTCCATGATACCCCCCATGCGTTGCCATTCCTGAGGACTCAGGTGTTATTCATCTGTACCCACTAAATTCACGCCATATCCCACCCTTCAAACCGAAACACAGCCATGCAAACACAACTGCTTCACGGTTGAAACACGAATGGGACAGAGGTACCCAAGCAATCAAATTTTGTACAAAGTCTCCCTCTGGGATGAAATGAAAAATAATTTGCAATAATTAAAAAAAAGTTAATTCAATTGAAATATCGATTGTGACATTTATATATGAGAAAAATGGTTCTCACTTTTATCAAAATTTTCTTAGACATTACGACAAAAAAATATCCTTAATTTAAAAGAGGCAACGCTCTTAAAGTTTTCATTCTAAATGCAGTTACTAAGATTTTATTAAACGTTCAATATATATTTTATTAATTTTCAAAATAAAGGCACTTAATATGAAATACCATTATTTTTATTTTCCATGTAAAGTGTTTTAAAACGATACTGTCTAAGCTTTTAATAAAATGAATTAAAATAAAACTTATTGTAATTATCTATTAAAATCGTAGTTTGTCTCCAGTTAAACAATGTTTTATTTAACCAAAATAAAAGTTTACGATCATGCAAAGTTACTTACCAAAGTTTCTTAGTCAAGTAGTTTTGACCTGAAATAGAAAAAATAAAAATATATTAACAATAATAAATTTCAAATAGCTAAAAATTAATTATATAAGCTACACATAGAAGTACTGTAATTTTTTTATGCAAGTTAGAAAGGCATTCTAGACAACGGTCCATCTAATGGAACTTATAGAATCTAATGGAAAGTGATAACCGTCGCCAATAGATATGAACTGTACTATGGGCATAGTATATAATGTAATATACTGTGTCGCACCAAGTGTCAACCATATCAGGAATCAAAAGAATAAAATCGCATGAGGGGTATCATGGGTGAAACAGTATACTCTGTTATGTCTATGGTACTGCTCATGTCTATAGGCGACGGTTACCACTTTTCATCAGGTGGGCCGTCAGATTGTTTGCCATTCTAAGTTGTATAAAAAAAAAATAATAGCAACTATTAAAACTAAACGATGTAAAACTAAACGTAGTATTATTTATTTTTAGTAGCATGGATAAATATAAATATGATAACTATGTATTTATTATTTTAAATTTCGTAGGTAAAGTCGTGATTTATTATTTCGTATTTATAGACGGTTACCAGTTTCTATCAGGTGGGCCGTCAACGTTTTTCCTTCAAGTTCTATAAATAAAAACAAGTCCCTCAGCACAAGGAAAATGGTTTAAGAATACCCTTATTAACTTTATCAACATCGATTTTTCTTAACATTTCCGTGGGGACTTCGTAATGTCACAGTACGTGATTTTAATTTCAATACTGGTAATGTTGATACAATATTGCCAAATAGTTTTTGGCATTCTGCCATCATTTCTCATGGACAGACTTTATTGGTATTCAATAAAGTATCTATATTAGAGAGTATGGCGTAGTGATGTCGCCAGTTGTTGGTGGATTTCTCGATCCACGCTATATACAGGTCAAGTAACTGACTTGTGTACAGCTGATGTTACTATGTCATATATCTATACATATACTATACATGGTTGTTTATGATAGATTTTTTCTTTCTATGCTGTATGGTCTATTGATCATTTGGCGTAATTATATTATAACTTATTTACATACAGGTAACATATTTATTTCTGTTGCTTCTGTTGAGAAAATCCCTTTTTAAGTTTAAAAGTGTAATAAGAGAACAAACATAGAAAACGCAGGAAGCGAAGTTTTACTTTTTTATTATCTAACTTCGTGTTTCAAGTCCAACCAATTTAAAATGATGAATTAAAGTACTTTGTGGAGAAACAAGGGGTTTTAAACGCTAAGAAGGAAATGAGGTAAAAATTAATTATTGTGCGGTAACTTTGAGTATCTAAAAAAAGCTATTTTTAACTTATTTAATAGACGCTTCTATACTGGAATCCTTACTAATGTTATAAATATGAAAGGGAAATCCTTTTTTATTATCTCTTGATGGCCTAACGGCTTAAATAATTGTCACTTAATTTAAAATTAAAATTATTTTATTATTATTTTTTACCAACAAGAAATAATAGAGACGGAACAAAATATGACTTACATTGGTACTTATATTAAGTTATATTATGAAAAGTCTGCATTACAATCAGTCGCCAAATTAAATCAAATCTGTATCTTGGGGACAAAAATTAAATAATTAAATTAATTTGACATATCTTTTACACAATGCAATAAATTTACCATTGAATAACTCAAGATGTCACTAAAATATAATAAATAAATTAGACATTTATAGGTATTGCCTTTTTATTAATCATTTTTTATCAACAATCCCAAAATAATAAATATAATTGTATAATAGTATGTAATAAAAAGTACTATATATATCAAAAGGATTGGGGTCTCAGCTTCCTTTCCCCAATGGTTTTTGGGACGGGTTGTCTGAGAAAACCGGCAAATTTGCTGAGAATAAAGTAAAATAATAATGGAAATAAAATAAGTCTACTTCTTATAAACGACTTTCCGTAAGCATAGATACAAAATAAAAAGTATTTTGTGTAATCTTTTTCTACCTTTTCCGTGTTTGGCCCGCAATATTACGTTATTATGTGATTTTCAAGTCCTTATCGCATTTCGTTTAGAAGCTCGAGGGTCGTAACAAATAAACAGATGTCGTTAGCGCAACAGTAAGCTTGTAATGTAAAAGCTGCTGAAAGTAGAAATCTTTTTAATTAGTTAGTTGCAAAAGGGGTTAGCACATACTAAACAATTAGCATAATAATGTTTGTCAAAATACAATCCAAAATAATATATACATATTTATATTACAATCATAATTTCAGCCGTTAACTGTAAACTGCTTAACATAAGCCTTGCCTATAAGGGGAGTTTTTCCAGTATTTGCCACGCTTGGCAGTCGGGTTGGCAAATGCAGTTAGACTTTTAGAGGTGTTTTAGGAGGGCCGCTGCATTGAGTTTTTAGTCGTTTCTTATAACACCCACAGAAAAGAAAGGGATGGCTTATTCTATGCCGGGACCACAGCATCGATTTTATATTGCAATATATATGGAAATTAATTTAAAAAACAATTCTATTTCATACTAATCGGTAAATTCGAAGTGTATTTAAAAGCAGTTTTAATAATAGATTTGTAGAAGGTGTTAATTTTTATGAATTTTTTATGGTTTATAAATAATAACAATCAACTAAAACCAATAGACGCAAAAGTCGTCTATTTTCTTTTTTTTTTTAATCATTTGATTTAAAATAACCGACATCTTGCTCAAGAACAAAAGTACTAGTTCTTTAGTTCTAGAAGTATATGACTACCACACTTATTTATTATTTGTTATATACAAGATATTATATCTATCTTTATTGTTTACTGAATATGAAAAGATAGGACTCCATAAGCCGTTTACGTTCGTATATTTTTATGTCGAAAAGCTTTTCCAAGCTACTATAAATTCTAATCTTTATTAGGTTTTTAGAACATTTTAAACAATTTTTCTTCATTTCATAAAAATTATAGATAAAACATTTTAGTGTCCAGTGTACGGTCTGTCACATCTTTTCAAACTAAAAGCTTTTCTAGATTTCTCATAATATGTAGGTCTTATGTCAGCTACTAAAGAGTGCATTACGTAAAATGCAATATAGCTATCCCGTTCTATTTAAAGTCCTTGAAAGTGACGCAGATATGTTGCGGCCTTAATGTTTTTCTCATAAATTATGAAAAAGGGACTCTATTGGATAATGGAAACTGTTATTGGGATCGTTTTGGTATTACGTTAAATATTTATTTACTTCGTTATTTTTGTATATCATCTTATAAACACTTTACCTTTCTTACCAATTTTACTATGATATTTACTGAAATCGTGTATAATATATGGTAGCTTTGGTTTACATTATTTTCGACTCTTTATTTAATACTAGCTAGTTCTAAAAAACAGATATTATTAATAATGACTTTTATATATGGGTAAAGAAGTATTTTTAATACACCATTTGAAATTTTTAAGTACTGGATTGTAAACAAATTTTAAAATAATATTATTTGTAAGGTTTTGAGAGGTTTTTTTTGTCAGTTTACTATTTAGACTCAAACATCGACTACTAAGCTCATAAATTAATTAAATTGTTTATACCTGGCAGAGAGGAATGGTAATTTGTAGTTTTAGTTTAAATTTAAATTAAAATACTTTAATTCCTCAATGAAAGAACAGCTTAAATGTTATTACAAATATTAAACTATAGAATATATTATTGTTATACTATGATAAATGTTTTGTAAAGATGTTAATTTTAATATTTATGTTCGAACAATAGAACGGAATTAATTGAAATTTTCTGCACAGATTGACCATATCTTAAATATAGTCCTATGTTCTTAGATTATATAGATAGAGCCTCGAACCTCGAAAACGGGTCGACATTTTGTCAGTTAATTGTTAAATTAAATTAGCCGACTCATTTTTTATATTAATGTTCTATATAATTACGCACACAATGTATCTTAACGTATCAAACGTATTAAATATTTAATTATTTAATAAATAAAAATATTTTTTTCTGCATTAAATCTATCTATATTATCTAAGCTAAAACTCATGTTCACATTTATATATTATATAAATGTGAACATGAGTTTGTTTGAGTTTGTTTGTTACTTCTAAGCGCCTTAATGGCTTAACCAATCAATATGAAATTTGGAATAATTTGGTGGGAAGGACTTTTTGTCTCGACCCTATTATCCCCATGACCGAGATTATGTACGAAGTGTACATAATCTCGGTCATGGGAATGAAGTAGCATGTTAGTATAAGATAAAATTGTTAGCAATACAGCTAGTTTCAAATAGGCTCAGACTGGTTTGATCCCGCAAATTTAATATACGTTATTACTGTAATTATAAGATTAGAGTTATGTTAGGTAAATTAATATTACTATATCATAATCACGAGATACTAAATAACGTCAAAATAAATTTAAAATTCACTTGCTGAATTATCAGAAACAGTTTTTTTTTTTATAATGATGATAATGGAATGGAAAGGCTAACAGTATACGCTGCAGGAGCACCAGTAAGGAATGATAGGTCAGAATGAAAAAGCAGGTCAGTTAGCCCATTGTGATGAATACATCTGGAATTTAACTGGAATTCAGTACGATGGCTTCCAGGGTGAATCACGTGGAGGTCGACCTGACAGGGCATATTGCTAGCAATGCGACTGGTAAGCCGCATTACTGACAATTCCTTTCTTCCATCAGCAACAGTTTAGTATTTATTTTTGTACCTATACTATACTAACGTATATATCTACCAGATAATGTTAGTGCTACTTCTATGCTGTAGTAGGAAATCCTCCTGGAAATAGCTGAAGTGATAAAAACTATATTTTATTTTATAGAGACCATTTTAAACACATTCACCGCGGAAATACCTGTTTATTCCCTAGTCAACTGTAAAAGCGTAAAGTTTATAAATAAAATATAACTGACAATTTTACTAGCACGCGTTTCTCTACAAAGCAAAAAAAAAACGCAGAATATTTTCCCTGAGAGACACATTCTGCGGAGTTTAACATTTTAGAAAA